TCTATTTATCATTATCGTTATGTTTTAATTTGCTACAGGGCACGCATGCTCACCAGAGACATATAGATAGCCAAAGAGAGAGAGAGAGAGAGAGAGAGAGAGAGAGAGAGAGAGAGAAAGCAAGCTGCCAGTTCTGGGACTCGAACTGCAGTTGATCATGTGGGAGTCCAGTGCCCCAATCACCACACCACCTGCCGGCACTTTGAGAAGGAAAGTGAGAGAGGGAAAGTGAGACATCACCCCTGGGGGGATGGCCACGCTGCAATCCCTTCTCCTTCCTTCTCCCCTTGGGATTTTGGGCACGCACGCACACACACTTGGCGTGTTTTTCAAGCTGCTAGGTCCGGGACTTGAATCATGGTCAACCATGTAGGAATCTAGTGCCTTAACCACCATGTCCTCTGCTGGCCTGGGAAGACACATTTAACAGACAAAAAAAAAAAAAGAAAAGTAAGGTCACCTGTTGAATAAAGACAACGGTCCTATATATGACATGGGGTCGCTGGACAACTCATGGCCCAATTTTCTATGGAAATGTGCATCCTGACTTTTCCAGGGACCCAGCACATCATGCTGGGGACTTGAGGTAGAATGTGGAATTAATCTGGAAAGGAAGAAAAGGAACCGGAATGCATTCACACCCTTTCTCCAAGAGACTGCGGTCTGTCTTGCAGAGCTGTCACATTCCAGGGGCTCTGAAGGCATTAGTCATGGAGCCCAGGCAGCCCTGTGAGGCACCGAGCTCTCCCTGTCCTTATCTAACTGCTCTGAGGCCAGCCCTGACCTTTGAGGGGAGGCCCCTCTGACGGTGTGGACGGGTCACAGGAACACCGTGGACCAGAGTGACTCATGGACAAAGAACAGATTCTACTGTCTTTAGGACGAATGGGCTTGCAGGTGTAGACAGGTTATAAAAGCCAACAGAATCCTGAGAGGGAAAGATACCAGGGTGTAGATGAATTAAAAAAAAAAAAAAAAAAAAAGAAGGATCTTTAGATGGCGTAAGTGGTTAGGGCACTGGACAACTGCACTTCAAGTCCTGGACCTGGTGACTTAAAAATCACAGGAGGGAGACCAGCAGTTGGCCTAATGGTTATGGTGCTGGACTTCCATGTAGTTGATCGCGATTTGAGTCCCAGACCCAGTGACTTAAACTCATGCCAGGTGCGTGTGTGTGCGTGCCCAAGATCCTGAAAGGAGAGTGGAGGAGAAGGGATTGTGGTGTGGCCATCCCCCGTGGGGGGTGATTTCTCACTTTCTGTCTCTCTGTCTCTCTCTGTCTTTCTGGCGAGCACATGCGCCCTATAGCAAAAACCTCTCAGACAAAGTATTACCAAGCCACATTAAGGAGTATTAAGGAGCTGAAACTCCACAGCAGGAGCCTGCAAAACTGGCCACAGAGTTGCATCACATGAGGAGGGTCTAAACTAGGAAATCTGGATTCTACCTCCCAGGAAAGCACCTTGGCAGGTCCTCATCGTGCTGAGGTAGAATCCCCTTTCCCAGCCTTCCAGCATGTCAGGACCTTTGGCATGCTTGCATGCCTCTGGTGTGTTTTCAGGGCCACCTGGGCATCTGCCAGAGTGTGTATGCACTTGTGAGAGAGAGATGGGGAGACAGAGAGAGGGAGAGAGAGGAAGCACCTCAGTGGGGTGTGCTCACGCTACAATCCTTTCTTCTTCATTTCTCCATGCAGTTGGGATCTGAGGCCACACATACGTGGTGTGTTTCTGGGCCATTGGGATTGGGATTTGAACCATGCCCATCAGCCATGTGGGATCCAAGTCCCTTCCCTGTACTGTGGGCTGGCCCAGTGTGCAGATCTGAAGCTGAAGTTGGCCATATGGCTTCCAGCCCCGCCATGTGGCTTGTTGCCGACTGCACAAAAGAACAGCCTGTGGCTCAGTTGTTTGGACCCGCCTGCCCTCTTCATTATCTGCCAATTCTGCAGGAGGGAGTTTGCTTCCTTGCTGGGATGTATTTGTGACCCCTCGAGCAACAACCCCAGCATCCTCAGCTCTACAGGGGCCGTGAACTGTGAGAGCCTCCTCCTGTGAGACTGAGTGGGCAGCAGCTGGCTTCTCAGGGCCCCTCTGTTTCTGCTCAGACTATCAGCAGGGGCCCTTTCTGAGGGGTGTCAGCTGCTCTTCTCTTTCTCAATTTTGCACTTGGTGTTAGTGATTCTGCTGTTTCCAATGGGGTCTGTGCACCATGCAAAGGGCTCTGTGCTGTCTAAGTGAGAGAAGATGGAGTCATGCCTTAGGGAGGTGGGGTCCTCAACTCCCAGGTTGCATACCTGTACCAGTCCACTGGACTGCACAGGAGGAGGTGAGTGGCAGGGGAGGGAGGAAGTGAAGCTTCCTCTGTATTTACAGTCACTCCCCATTGTTCACATTACTGCTCTGCCTCATCTCAGATCACCTGAGCCATAGGTTTTCTTTTTTTTTTTTAAAGAGAGATTTTTGCTATAGAGTGACAGAAAGCGAGAAATCATCCCCCAGGGGGATGGTCATGATGCAATCCCTTTTCCATTCTTCTCTCCAGATCTTGGGTATGCATGCACTGTTGCCTAGCATGAGTTTTAAGCCACCAGGTCCGGGACTTGAATCACAGTTGACTGCATGAGAATCCAACGATGTAACCATTACTCCATCTGCTGGTCCCAGCATTAGGTTCTTCTTATAGGAGTGCAAACCCCATTGTTTGTACACTCACAAACTGTCCCTCCATCTGTAGGAAAATTGTCTCTCATGGAACCCACCCAAATGTCCACAAACAGATGAATGGATTGAAAAAATGTGGCACATATACTCCATGGAATACTATTCAGCCTTGGAAAACAAAAGTCTGACATTTGATAGAAAGTGGACGAATATGGAAGATTTGTTGCTGAGTGAAGCAAGTCAGGCTATGAAAGAGAGACATTGTATGTCTCCACTTAACATATACCAACTGTCCGCTCTCTATGGTAGAGACTGACAGATTGGAGGGCATAAAAGCAGTGAAAATAGTTATGGATGCTGGAGACTGTATGGAAGGAGAAAGGGACTATGAGGAAGGAAACTAGGGATAAAGGTAGAGAAGGAAGACATTTATGGGGCACGGAAATGTGGACTGGCTTGAGGGTAGGGTACATTTTTGGATAAATAGTTCATGTTGGGTAAATTCTCTCTACAAGCTAAACGATGTATAGCAATCGAATGTATAAAAAAATAGTAAAAGAAAAAGAAAGGAAGAAAGAAAGAAAGAAAAAGAAAGAAAGGAAGGAAGGAAGGAAGGAAGGAAGGAAGGAAGGAAGAAAGAAAGAAAGAAAGAAAGAAAGAAAGAAAGAAAGAGAGGGAAAGAAAAATTGTCTTCTACCACACCCATCTCTGGTACCAAACCATTGGGGACCACCATGTTCGAGAATTCCGTCCAGGGCAGCAGCTACGGGAATGGACATTCCTGTTCTCAAAGAGTCTCGGTGTCCCAACCACGTGGTCTCGTAGGAAAGCTCCCCCTGTTTTTTAAGTCGCCAAGTCGGCGTGAAAGAGGAATCCCTGCTTGACTCAGAAGGGAGTGTCCTGGCAGGGATTCACGTGGCTGTCCGTCCAGCCTCGCCCTGCATGAGTCACCGTGGTGGCTTCCACACATCCGGGGCTCTGAGGGCCCGGTGGCCACCGCAGAACTCTGCTGAGGCTCTGCTGAGGCTGTGCCCTTTCGCAGTGGGACAAGGCAGGTCCCCACCTGGGGTGGTCAGCAGAGGCACCCTCTGAGCTCACCCCCAGGCTGCCTCTGCACGCTCACGGTTACGATGTCCGCTCTGAGCACTCGGGACTGCTTGTTTTTCAATGTCCCGTCTGTTTTGTTTTTTAGATTTTTTTGCTGAAGAACACACGGGCTGGCCAGAGAGGGAAACGGCATGCCCCGTAGGGAGTTGTCATGACACGGTTCCTTCCCCCACGTTTCCTCCCTGGTGAGACGTTCTGGGCATGGACGCAGATGCACTGAGAGGGTTGGGCAGGCCATCGGGTCTGGGTTTTCATCACGGGGTCGGTCATCTGGCTGCCTTCAACAGCAGGCCACGGACCTGGCCCAGGTTTTGTATGTTTATTTACTGTTTTCTTCCATGAGTGTGAGAGAGACAGACAGTCACCCTAAACAGGGCTTTTTAAAAAACATTATTCATTAAATTAAATACATAAATTATTCTTTTTTAACTTGCTCTAGGACATGTGCACTTACCAGAGAGAGACAGAGAGAGAGAAAGCAAGAAAGCAAGCCTCTAGTTCTGGAATTTGAACTGTGGTTGACCGTGGGGGAGTCAAGTGTCTTAACCATGCCACCTGCCGGCCCCAGGGACTTTTTAATTTTTAAAAATTTTATTTATTGATTTATTTTTACAGAGATTTTTACTATAGAGTGTCTGCACTCATCAGAGACACAGAAAGAGACACAGAGAGAGAAAATGAAAAATCACCCCCCAGGGGAGATGGCCACACCACAATCCCTTCTCCTCCATTCTCCTGTTGGGGTTTCGGGCACACACGCACACGCGCCAGCTGTGAGTTTTAAGCCACCGGGTCCGGGACTTGAACCTCGGCCGCCCGTGTGGGAGTCCAGCCATGTGACCATTACACCACCTGCTGGGTATTGTTATTCATCTTGACTGTCTCCAGATGGGAACCTGGAACGTTCTGTGTGCGTCAGCTGTGTGGAGCACCCCGTAGGGATTCCCGCTGGGCCGCCAAACAGCCCTGGTACCGTTCTGAGGGTGTTCGTCAGCCCCAGACGGACTCTCAGGACGAACAGAGGAATGAGGAGGGTTTTCCACTGGGAGTCCAACCTCTGCAGCCCAGGGACGTACAGCTGTTGCTTAAACTGCAGGCAACGCCCCCTGCGTCCAGGCCTGCCCGTGGACTGGTGGGTACATGCTGGGGCACGCGCAGGTCTGGTTAGAGGATTTCCTGATGGCCAGGATTCCTACAGGTGGCGCGAGGAGGAGGCGGGTCCCGGGTGGAATGACGGTGAGTGACAGGTGTCCGCCTCTGCCTGAGACCCAGAGCCACGCCCTCCCCTCGCTCCCGTCCTTGGTGCAGGGCATGTTTAGGGAGCTGTATTCAGCCAGGAAGGCGGGGTGTGTGCAGCAGGGTGGCTTCCTTCGGGGCAGGGAGCCTGAGGCCCAGGGCCCAAGGTGGCGTTATTTCAGCTGAAAGTGGTTTTCTGGTCCTGGCGTGACCCTGCAGAGAAGCCAGCCCACGGGTCAGGGCGGAAAAACCAGCTCCCCGTGCAAGGGCGGCTGGATTCTCCCGGGCCTGCTGCGAGGGGACAAGGCCTGGGAAACTCTTTTTGCCCTGTCCCCGTTGCCCTCGGGCCTGCGTTGGCTGCTGTGGGCTGGTCTTGGGCTCAGGCAGGGGAGCTGGTTTGCAGAACCGGATGGTGACCAGGGCGAGCAGGGTCTTGCAGATGGCGGGGGTGTCCGGCCCGCTCCTGTGGCTGCATGCCTGGGAGGAGCAGACAGTGCCAGGCCAAGGGGTGTCAGAGCGCGCTTTGAGGGCGTGGCCATCCAGGGCAGGAGGGCTGTGCTGGGAGCCAGCTTCCGGGTCCATGGACACCAGAGGGTGCGAGGTCACATGGACGGGAGGGCAGTGGGTCGAGTCATGGGGGGGAGACAGAGGGTGGCCCTGGGGGGTCCTGTGCATGTGTGCACGCCCACCCACACATGCATGCACACCTCAGCTACATGGGCGTGCGCACACATGTACACATGCAGGCACCCGCGCAAACACGAGAACACACACATTGCACGCACATGTGCCCATGAGCACGTCTGCATGCATCCCTGCTGTGCACATAGATGCTCACACACCGCGTGCACGTGGGTACACGCACACACATACCTGTGCACAGAGCACACGCAGACACATGCACACACCACGCACACCTCAGTACACACGTGTACTGGTGCACCCTGAGCATGTGCACATCCACTGCACACATGCCCATGCGTACACGCGTGCACACACACACGGTCACTACATTGGAAACGTCTTTGTCACCCACATTGCACGACTGGATTCCATGGACATAGACCCCAGGCTGCCTGGAGAAGGCTGTGGGAAACACCTGATACTTCTGTCTCTGTCTCTTGCCGCTGCGAGACGCCCAGCTGCCATGCTCCTCATGTGCAAAGACAGGGGGTGTCCCCTGTGCTCTAACCAGCAGTAGAAGGAGCCCCCAAGATGAGAGGGAAGGGGAACAGGCTCAGGGCGGGGGACACGGAGGACGGTTCCTCTCACGGCCCACCGCCAGAGCAGGGGACCTCCTTCTGCCTCTGGCTCCATCCTCACACCCTTGGGGTCCCCCGGGAAGGAGCTGGCACCCTTGTCTTAGAGCCCTTCTGAAGGACTCTTGTTCTTCCAGGACCCAAGCTTTCTGAGGCCTTTGTGCAGCTGGGGTCTGGTGAGTCAGCACAGAGGAATTGTTTTGTTTTGTTTCTCTGGTGATGTGGCCAGCCCCAGCCGGCAGCCATAACTGGCTTCTCCCCGTGTGGGCGACGGCAGCGAAGTGACAGGAAAGGGAGGGGTGACAGTGTGGGGCTGCCTTTTGCATTCACGTGTGTGAGTCTTCCTGTGTTTCTGGATTTTCAGCATTCCCAGGGTCCTCTCTGCCTAATTCTTATTTATTTACACTTTTCTTTTGTACATTTAATTGACATAAGCCTTTATGGTATTCAGACCAATGAGAGGGGAGGGGGTCCTCTGCTTGTTTCTTATTTATTTAATTTGCTCCAGGGCAATGCACTCACCAGAGAGAGACAGAGAGGGAGGGAGAGATCGAAAGTGAGAAAGCAAGCCGCCAGGTTTGGGTTCTCAAACCGTAGTCAGCCACGTGGGAGTTCAGTGTCTTAACCACCACGCCACCTGCCGGCCCCTTTTTCTTAGTTATTTCATTCAAAATTTTTATTTATTTTTCTTTTTAGTATAATTATTTAATTTTATTGTCATTTTAAAATTTACTATACAGCATGTGCACTCACCACAGAGAGAGACAAAGCGAGGAAGCAAGCCGCCAGGTCCAGGATTCAAACCTCAGTCGGACATGTGGGAGTCCAGAACCTTAACCATTACACCACCTGCTGGCCCTTGAATTTTTAAAATTGTACATTTAATTGTCATAAACATTTATGTCATAGAAAGCATTCTAAAGGCCCTCTCTCTTTTACTCTTTGTTTAGTATGTTTTTTCTTTTTTCTTTTATAGGTTTTTGCCTTAGGGTGCATGTGTTCCCCAGAGAAAGAGACAGACAGAGACAGTGCGTGCCCAAGATCCTGAGAGGAGAATGGAGGAGGTGGGATTGTGGGCTGGTCGTCCCCCTGGGGAGGTTTCTCACTTCCTATCTCTGCCTCTCTGGCAAGCACATGCACCCTACGGCAAAATCTCTTTTAAAACAAACAAACAAACACCCTTCCTGGTGCTCAGCACAGACAGATATGCGGGCAAAAGTGTAGACACAGATACGCATGCAAACATACTAACCTATACAGATGCATGCATGTAAACCCACACATGTAAACCAACACCCTTATAAATGAATGCACACCACACCCACACACACCTTCACACGTGCACACTCCAACCACATGCACACGTGTACACGTGTACTTGCACTATGCATACGTGCACACACGCATACAACACGCCTGCACATTTATGCACATGTACACACGCAGCCCTGAGACCTGTTCATATGCCCTGCTTAAACACATGTACATGCATGCACAGGCAAAAACCATACCGACACGTAGACACAAAAGCCTCATATACACATGACTACACATATGTGCACACAAGCCACGTGCACCTACTCACCTACGCACACCGCACAAACCACACCCACTCCCAGCTGCAGATGGCCAGACACACCGTGCACGCGTGTACATGGGAAAACACCCGAGCCGCAGTGACATGCCCAGACCCACACACATGCCAGCACAGTGCACACATATGCACCCCCGGCAGGTGCACGCCTGTTAGACATCGCCCAGAGCCGAGCACGCTTCCCAGGAGGCCAGCTTTTGGACTCTCCCACGCTGCCTTGGACTCCAGGGGCTCGGGATGCAGCCAGTCCTTTTCCGGAGTTGTTTTTGGAAAAACAACAACTTTCAATGGAGCACACGGTTTCAGCATACTTCCCCAAATTTTCCTTCATTTTGATTTTTTAAAAAGAATTGTTTGTTTAATGTTTATTTTTTACTATGTTCTAATTTGATGAGAGAGAGAGAAAGAGAGAGGATGAGAAGCCAAGCTGCCGGGTTCAGGACTTGAACTGTGGTCAGGCACATGGGAGTCCAGTGACTCAACCACCACGCCACCTGCCGGCCCCATCCTTCATTTTGTTTTTCCCCCCCCCCCCCCAGAGAAGGTTACATTGTAATAGCATTGTAATTGCTTTAGCTACAAATCCTGAAACAGGGCCAGCAGGTGGCATGGTGGTTAAGGCAGCTGGATCCCACATAGCCCACTGTGCAGTTCGAGTCCTGGACCTGGCGGCTTGAAAATCATGCAAGGCACGTGTGCATGTGTGCCCAAAATCCCGAGAGGAGAAAGGAGGAAAAGGGCTTGGGGCGGGGCTATCCCGTCTGGGGAGTGATTCCTCACTTTCTTTTCTTTTTTTTTTTTTTTTTGAGAGATTTTTGCTATAGGGCACGTGTGCTCGCCAGAAAGACAGAGACAGAGAGACAGAAAGCAAGAAGTCACTCCCCAGGGGGGATGGCCATGCCACAATCCCTTCTCCTCTATTCTCCTCTTGGGATCTTGGGCATGCATGCACATGCGCCCTGCCACAGGGTCCAGGACTTGAACTGTAGTCAGCTACATGGGAGTCCAGCAACATAGCCATTACGCCACCTGCTGGTCCCGATTCCTCCCTTTCTCTCTCACTGTTTCTCTCTGTCACTCTGTCAAGTGGACACGCTCTATGACAAATTAAAAACAATGTCAAACAAGATAGAAGATGAATGTCATTACGGCAGTCTCCTTATTCAGTGGGACCCCAGGAGATTAAAAAAATGTGGGAGCCAGGAGATGGTGTGGTGGTTAAGGCACTGGACTCCCACCTGGACAATCATGGTTTGAATCCTAGACTGACAATAAGAAACTCACGCCGGGCGCGTGTGCGTGCGTGCCCAAAATCCCGAGGGGAGAGTGGAGGAGAAGGGATTGTGGCGTGGCCATCCCCCCTGGGGGGTGATTTCTCACTGTCCTTCTCTGTCTTTCTCTGGTGAGTGCATGTGCCCTGTAGCAAAATCCTCTAAATAAATAAATGAATACCTAGATAAATAAATGCATTAAGCATGCATATTCTGGACGGATTAGTTAGGAAGCATATTTTAGTTTTGTAGTTAAGGAAAAGTTGCTAACAAAAGGAAGAATTTCGTGCTCCGTGCTCTCCCCCCAGCACCTGTTGGAAGTTGCTATTCGTCTGGTTCGAAGGACCTTGTTATGAATAATCCACGTGCAAAAACTGCCGCATTCTCCCCTGTGTCACTTCTCGCTAACGATCGATTTCAAAAAGGCGCTAAGTACCTCCAACCCCGCAAAGATTACAAACATACTGTGCTGTTTCCAAACATTTTAATTTTCCACTTCGCCTGCGTTTGCCTTGTCTCTAACTTGACTTTCTTTTCTTTCTTTTAGATTTTGATTTATCCGATGCTCTCGATGGTGAGTAGTAATACCGTGTTTTTAAAGAATTGTTCATTTTATTTATTTGTTATTATTATTCCTTTTTAATTTGACTAGAGAGAGACACACACAGAGAGAGAGGGAAAGTGTGAAAACAAGCTGCCAGGTCTGGGAATTGAACTGTGCTCAGCCATGTGAGAGTCCAGTGCCTTAACCACCACGCCACCTGCCAGCTTCCGGTGTTTTTAAAAATGAGTTTCAAGCTGCCGGGCCTGGGACTCGAATTGCAGTTGGCTATATCGGAGTGCAGTGACATAGCCATTATGCTAACTGCTGGTCCCCCCTCTTTGTCTCTTTCTGAGTGCGTCTGTCTGGCAAGTGCACATGTCCTGTAGGAAATTTGAAAAACTACTGAAAGTCATGTATTTTAAAATACCAAGAGTATTTAAATATGCTTTATTATCACAGCAGTGCCGTGTGTGACCAGGGAAAGGGGTCCAGAAGCCTTCCTCAGGGGAAATCCCAGGGGTTTTAGAAAAGTTCATGAGAATGCATCTTAGGGAAGCTCTAGGCGTGGATCTGAACATTCTGGCCACGGGCATAAACTTGTACCCTAGTTGCACTCTACAGCAAAAATCTCTCTTAAAAAAAAAAATAACCCAAGAGGGGGCTGGATGATGGCAGAGCAGACAAAGTCAGGGCTGTGAGCGCGAGGAGCCACCTGACAAGGTTCTGAGAAGCACCCAGAGACCTCCCTGCGTACAGCGGGTGTACGTGTGCCTGCACTCGGGCCGGCTGAGGCCGAGACAGCTTCGGGGCGTCCGGACCCTGTCAGGGGTGCTGTTTCAGCTCTTAGTTTTTTCACTCACGAAAGAAATAAAGTTTAAAAAGAGAAGAGAAAAAAGAAAAACGAGACAGTTGTCAATGTTTCCGCAGCTCTAAGCTGGACTGACCGCAATGTCTTTTCTCTTTAGACTTTAAAGACGAGAAACCCACCGCCAAGCCCAGAAAGCCCACTGCCGGTAAGAACCCAGCGTCCCCCGAGGCGGAGAGGGAAGCAACCCCGACAGTGGGATGGGGGCTTAGACGACTGGGAAGAAGCCTTGAGGCCTTCCAAGGCTCTCTGCCGGGTCGCATGGCATTGGAATTGCCGGACGTTGACCTGATCCATACAACGACTCGTGCCAGAGAAGGGAGGCCCTCGACTCTGGGAGCTGCATCTGGCTCAGTGTGGTGCTGTCCCTCAGTGTGACCCTGTGGGTGTTCACTTCTCGGGACCCAGGCCAGTCGGGCCAAGGCTCCCTCTAATATGGCAGTGGGCACGTCCCTGCGTGTCAGCCTACAGGCCACGGGTTGGATGCTCACCCTTCCAAATTCGTTATTTATTTTTGTCCAATAATATTCATTTTTTAGAGACATTTTTGCTACCGGGTGCATGCATTTGCTGGAGAGACAGAGAGACAGAAAGTGAGAAATCATCCCCTAGGGTGAATGGCCATGGTGCAGTCCCTTCTCCTCCATCCTCTTCTTGGGATCTTGGGCACACACGCACATGTGCCTGGCATAACTTTGGAGCCTCTGGGTTCAGGACTTGAACCGTGGTCAGCCACATGGGAGTCCAGCAACGTAACCATTATGCTATCTGCTAGTCCTGATATTTACTTTTATTACATAAACTTAAATTTGTGTATAAAAGTGCAATGCACGGGACCAGCAGTTAGCGTAATGGCTATGTTGTAGGATTCCCATGTAGTTGACCACGGTATGAGTCCTGGACCCGGTGGCTTAAACTGACGCCAGGCGGGTGTGCATGCCCAAGATCCCAAGAGAATGGAGGAGAAGGGACTGTGGCATGGCCATCCTCCTGGGGGGGTGTTTTCTCACTTTCTCACTTTCTGTCTCTCTGTCTCTCTGTCTGGGTTTAGGACTTGAACTGAGGTCTCCATGTGTGAGTCCAGCGCCTTAGCCACCACACCATCTGCTGGTCCCAGAATTTGTTCTTCCTTCCTTCCTTCCTTCCTTCCTTCCTTCCTTCCTTCCTTCCTTCCTTCCTTCCTTCCTTTCTTTCTTTCTTTCTTTCTTTCTTTCTTTCTTTCTTTCTTTCTTTCTTTCTTTCTTTCTTCTTTCTTTTTCTTTCTTCTTTCTCTTTCTT